TATAATTCTTCCTTCATTATAACTCTTATTAAAATGTACATTAACTTTGCTTATATTGCTGTCTCCTGCTACTACATAAGAAAATCCCCGAGGTTAGAGCACTTTGCCCCAAATAAAAGAACAGCAAATAGATGAATGCATGGATGGACACATGCGTGAATAGTACCTCAGAGATTCAAGAACATACATGTGAGCTTTTACTTATGTCCACAAAGTCTTGTATGGTATAATGTGGACCCACTTACCAGAAAGAAAACAATCTTTCTTTTAGCTATTGACATAAAACAAAAAAAAAATCCAGATAATGGTTCGGGCACCATTTTGCTTTTTCCATCAAGTATCTTTAATTCCACGCAGCATTGCTCTAGAATATGCATCCACGAGCGTCTTCCTTGGTCTCTTCTTCTTCCACCATGATAGCCTTGCTCTTTTCCTCTCTCTCCCCCCACACTATCTCTCTTGAGCCCTAAGCAAGTAGCATTTGGTCTTTATTGTCATTCCTGGAGGAGGCTTTATTTAAGTCTTTTAGGTAATTTTGAATTAGTATGGACAGGTCAAAAGGGACAATAATATTTAGCTCACTCATATTGACTTCTCATACCATCACTTTGATGAGTCATGCTAACAAAAGTCTCTGCTTCTTAATTTCAATGAAAGAAATCACTCCCCTCTAGGAGTACATGCTGATAGTGTATAGAGACAGTGAGGAGAGGGAGAGAGGAAAAGGAAATTCCAATTTTATTGCTTTAATAATAATGTAATTAATTTTAGTAACTTAATGATATGATGAAAATATATCAATCTGAAGAAGAAAAGTGATGTAATTGGGTAAATCATAATAATAATTATTGTTGTTATTATTTTATAGCCACAGTCTTCTTGGAGTTTTGGAAAAGGAGACGAAGTACACTGATCTACGCTTGGGACCTTATCGAATGGGAAGAAGATGAGGTAAGGTGGTAGGAAACCAGGAGATAAGGAAGCTGGGATATCACATGAAGCAGAAAATTATTCACTGCCCTAACTGAAAGGGTGCACAGACCTGAGCTGATAAAATGACAGGACCCGAGCTGACAGTTCACCAGAGAAGTTCCACTTTATTCAAGGACTGTGCGTATATTTATAGGGAGCTGCGTTCCGCGTTTTGATAGTGGGTGTACGGGGCAGTAGCTGATTGGACGGGGCTGGGCAAGAGGTGAGCTTTGACCTGTGACTGGTTGAGGTCTGGCACCGGCGGGCTTCTACTGTGGAGAATAACCCAGAAGGGTGCCATATTGCTAGGGAATGCTTTCCTCTTCCCCCTCTGCTTGAGTGCCCACGGTATCCTTACATTCCTCCCTTTTTCCTCTGTTGTGGGAATAGGTCGTCGTAATCTTCGAGCTACTTCCTGCTGGACAGGGGCGTAGTAGGGGAAGAGGAATTGGGAGGAGATTGGGGATTTTGTAACAGGACCCAAAAGAGGGTAGAGAATAAGATAATTTTGAAGGGGGAGAACTCTAGAAAGGTTCCCTGAAGCCACAGGTCAGTGATTTGTTGAGTCCAGTGTGTAGGAGGCTGTAGGGGAGAGCATCCAGGTGTCCATGGCCAAAGCTTCCAGGAACAGGGACCATCGACGAGGCAGGTCCATTTTAATAGCGGGTTAGCTGATCTAGTGAAGGGCGGGTAGGATCCTCGGTGGTCAGGAGCTGGTAATTTCTAAGTAAAAGCTGGTTAAAAGTTTGGTTAGAGATTTTTCCAAGTTGAGTTTGAATGAGTTTTATAATGTACGGCAGAAAAGACAAGCTATAAATATAACAGCGAGGGGTCCTAATATTGGCCATATCCAGGTGAGAAGTGAGCCTTGGAAAAAAGAGGAGAAAGGATCAGGGCAGTTGGCTCGGAGGTCTGAGGCTAGGTTGGTGAGTTTGACAATATTGGATTCTACTAGCCCCGACTCATTGATATAATAGGAACATTCTTCCTGGAGGAAGATGCAAGTGCCGCCCTTTTCTGCCGTGAGGAGGTCTAGTGCTCGGAGGTTTTGTAACGCAACTTTAGCTAGGGAGGTGATTTGTCTCTGTAAGGCAGATAGAGATTCAGCTGTGGAGGTGAGGGCCTTTTGTAGTTTGTTATTAACATCTTTTACCGCCCATAGAGTATGTCCCAAGGCCCCGCCCAACAGGCCGGTTGTAACAGTTGATGTTGTTAAGGACATTTCCATTAGGACTGGGAGAAAGGCGGCTCAACGCTGTCTTGGGGGTGGATGGAAAAGGTGGAAAAGCTCTGCGCAGGAATATAAACTTAGTTGGGGAATGACAGTGACTAGGTAGCAAGGGATGGAGGTATTAGGAAAGATAAAGGTGGAAAGGGTTCTGTTGTACCAAAAAAAGGTGCCCGGTGGGGACGTTGTGTGGCTTGTGATGGTGGACCCTTTTGTGCAATGGAATGAAGAATGGGGTGAGGGGGTGGATGATCCCAGAAAACAGTGATAGGACACTAGAGTGTGGTTGGGGGTGTTATCGGGGTCCCATAGAGGAACATCGGGAAGGCTGAGGGGTGTAGAGGAAGAGTTGGAAGGGAGTGAGGTAATGTTTACAGGGACAGCAGCCAGAAGTGGGCGTAGCAAAGATGTACAAAGGAAGCAATTGTTAGGACGGGTGGAGTTGAAGAAAGTCTGGTTAAGGAAGATAACACTAACATCCAGGCTGGAAACAGCTAAGAACCATTAGATTTGCCCTTGACTTTTTTTACTAAGAAGATTTCTCATTTCATAAAGATAATAGATATCAATGATATCTATGTATTTTTCAAACCACTTCTATGATGTTTCCTTAAATTACATTAGTGGAAAACTGTGCTAATTAAGATACAGTTTAGGGTTTATTTGGAAAACAATTTGCATCTTATTTTTAAAAGGTTGCTTCTTTGCGAATACATAGTATAAAAGCAGGCTAAATTTAGGAGTTTTGTATCAACTCTTGGAGAAACTTTTTTTTTAAGTTTATGGCTTTGATATTTAGGTAATTTTAATTTCTCTGATAGGAAACACTTCGTCCCCAGTTTGAAGCAAAGTATTACAAAATGGAGACAGTAAATCCCATCACAGGAAAACCTGAGCCACATCAGCCTTCTTCAGACAAAATCACTCGTCTTCTTGTTTCTGTCTCAGGCATATTCTTCATGGTACAGTATAGCCATTCATATCTGAATGTTGTGTGATTCCAGGTTCAGAAGGAAGTTCTATGATACCAATTTATTTTGTGACCCTGAAGCTCTAAGAAACCTTATCCTTTTCAATAGCTTGATAATACATACAGTTAAACAAACTAGAAACCACAGCAAGTCATGGAGATTTTACAAAGGGAGTTTGTGTGCCTCTTCACTCTTTGGAGAAACAGAGTTTATCTAAGATAAAATGGAAATATATATGTGTTGCCCTGATGGATTAGATACCCTGTGGTAAAACCAAGCATTTCATTTGTAAGAGGAAATTTGGACAAAATTTGAATTTTAGTGTGGCGACTTTACTATACAAAAAGAACTTAAATTTTATACTATTATTTTGACTCTAATGTAATTTATCTCCTTAAAGGAGAAAATTAAATCTATGTATCCTTTCTTGGAAAGATAAATACCTTCAACTGTGGGGGTAGTGTGTTTAATATATGGTTTGCTTCTAATGTGTTAATGATGAAAAATATGCACGTCTTCTCTGTTCTCTCATATTGTAGATTTCTCTGGTGATCACTGCAGTGTTTGCAGTAGTGGTGTATCGCCTTGTTGTCATGGAACACTTTGCATCATTTAAGTGGAATTTCATCAAACAGTACTGGCAGTTTGCAACATCTGGTGCAGCTGTCTGTATCAATTTTGTAATCATTATGTTGCTAAATCTCGTAAGTGTTTACAATGCTATACTATTTTTTTAATAGACAAAAAAGGAGTGGGTAGGAGAGACTTTATGTTTCCTTTATATTTGGAATGTGTTTAGGTGGAAACTATACTAAGACCAAGTCACATTTCTGGCAAAGACAACTCATTTAACAGAAAATATTTCATGTATGTGGTTTAGATAATAGATTTTTTTTTTAAATTAAAACCAACACTACTTCTATTGTCTTCTGTGCCCTTTGGGTTTATAATCTAGGTTAGTAATAACTTCCATTCATTGAGTGTGTGGTGTGTGTTACAGATGGTGCTATGCTCTTTTCAAACAAACAAGGGATTGTTTGAATTAGAAAATTACTCAAGCAAGCTGAATCTCATAGCAGAATTTGTTGGAAAGATACAGGAAAATCTGTTTGAAAGCAAAGGCTTATTATCTCCAAGACCTCACATGAAATGGAAAACAGTCAGGCAGCTACTCCATTTTTCTTTCTCTAGAACTGAGCATTTTTCTCCTTCCCTCCCTTCCTTCCTATCTCTTCTTTTTCCAGTACTTCTCTTTGCTCATCTGCCCTGTTCTATCAGGAGCGTGACTGTCTTTACATAACCATGACTTCTTTTTCTGTGATACTCTGGTGTGCTGTAGCATTGCTATGCCTTTGTTATCTTTTTTTTTATTGTTGTTTTCCATCATGTTGGTCAGGTTTCTAGTGCTTATGTAGCTCAGATCATCTGGTAATTCTAAGTGCTAATTTCTCAAAAACATCATCTATTTATTTCAATATCACATGCATTAACTGACTTGTGGACCAAATGTCTATGGCCGAGAGGGCAACATTATGCCTAGGCCTACCTTTTAACAAGGTCTATGGTTGGTAATCAATTTTCTCTGAAAACAGGAGGCAGTGATTGGTAATATCTTCATGTTAATTCTTTCAACAACTCTGCAATGTCACTATTCTATTATGTAAATGAGAAAACTAAAACTCAGAGTACTTAAATAACTTGCCCCAAATTATTCATATGATGTTATTGGTAGTATGTTTACATCATGAGATAATTTATATAGAGAGCTGAGCAATATGTAAATAATGATGTTGATATTATATGTAGGTTGTTTAGTCCATTTTGTGTTGCTATAACCGAAATACCTGAGACTGGGTAGTTTATAAAGAACAGAGGTTTATTTGGTTTACAATTCTGGGACAGCTGCAGCTGGCAAGGGCCTCAGGCTGCTTCTACGCATGGCAGAAAGTGGCAGGCACCTTGTGGGTACAAGCAGATCACATGCCGAGAGAAAGCAGAGAGAGAGAGAGGGGAGGTGCCAGGGTCTTTTTAAACAGCCAGCTATGATGGGAACTAATAGAGTGAGAACTCACTCACTACCCCCACCTCCAGGGAGAGCATTAATTAATTCAGGAGGGATCTGCCCCCATGACTCAAACAGTTCCCAACACTGCTACATTGGAGATCAAATTTCCACATGAGTTCTGGGAGGACAATACATCCAAACTCCATCATTCCACCCCTGACCTCCCAAAATTCGTGTCCCTCTCACATCAAAAAATACAATAATTCCATCCCAAGAGTCCCAGAAGTCTAAGCTTGCTCTAGCACCCACTAAAAAGTCCAAAGTCCAAAGTCTCATCTGAGACCAAGGGCTAAACTCCTTCCAGCTGTGAACCTGTAAAAATCAAAATCAAACAGATCTATTAATAAGATACAATGGTGGAACAGACATTGGGTACACATTCCCATTCCAAAAGGGAAGAATAGGCCAGAAGAAAAGAGAAACAGGCCCTAAACATGTCCAAAACCCAGCAGGGCAGATATTATGTCTTAAAGCTCCAAAATAATGTTCTTTGACTCCAAGTCTTACATCCTTGGCATAATGGGGCATCTGGGCCCCTAAAGCATTGGGCAGACTCACTTCCACAGCTCTGCCGGGCACAGCCCAGTGGGTTGCACTGGTGCCTGCAGTTTTTCCAGGCCTGTGTTGCACATTACAAGTGGCCCTTCAGTTCTGGGGTCCTGGTGGCAGCCTCGCTGCCTTGGCTCTACTAGACATTTCTCTTGGTGGGGGCTCTGACCCCACTTTCCTTCTCAGCATTGCTCTAGTAGATGGCCTCTGCAGTGGCTCTGCCCCTGCAGCAGGTCTCTGCCTGGACCCTCAGGCTTTTCCATACATCCTCTGTAATCTAGGTGGAGGCTCCCAAGCCATCCTAGCTTAGGTATTCTGTGAGATTGCAGACCTAACACCACGTGGATTCCGCCAAGGCTTCCAGCTTGTATTTTCCAAAGCTGCATGTCCAGCCACACTTGGGGCCAATTTAGCCACAGTTGGAGTAGCCAAAGCAGCTGGGGTGCTGGTGCTAGAAGTAGCTCCCTGAAGTGGTCCTGAGAACTGAGCCCCATGGAGGGCGCCTCAAGCCTGTCTCCCAAGACAATTCTGTCTTCCTAGGTCTTTGGACCTAAAATGGAAGAGTTGGCCCCAGAGGCTTCTTCCATGCCTTCAGGGCCTTTTTCTCCTTCTCTTGATAATCCTTTTCTTTTGTACTAATCTTAGCTAATGGTCACTGGTCCATTGCATTCTCTCTGCTTCTCTACCATATAGCCAGGCTGCAAGCTTTCCAAATCTTTATGCTCTGCTTCCCTTTTAAATTCTGGCTTTAACAATCACAATTCCTTGAGCTTGTTAAGACAAGTAAACAGATATGATGTGGGGAGGGGGCGGAGAAAGGGAGAGAGAAAGAGGAACAGGTAAAGGATCACAAAAATCAACTACAATATATAGAAGGAAGTTAAAATAAAAAATAAAATAAAATAAAAATAAATTCTGGCTTTACATCATGCCTTTTTGCCATAACTCAGAGTAGGCTGTTAAAAGTAACCATGTAGCTTCCTTAATGCTTTGCTGCTTTGAAATTTCTTCCACGAAACATTTTGGTTAACAGCTGCTAAGTCCCACCTTCCACAAAGTCCAAGGGCATGGACACAATGCAGCCAAATTCCTTGCTATGGTGTAGCAAGGATTATCTATTGTCCAATTCCTGATAAGTTCCTCATTTCTTTCTGACACCTCATCATTCACATGGTCTTTACTGTTCACATTTCTATCAGAATTCTGGTCACAACCATTTAACCAATCTCTAAAACATTCTAAACATTCTCTCATCTTTTGCCTTCTTCTGAGTCCTCCAAACTCCTCCAAACTTTGCCTAACACCCAGTTCCCAAGCTGCATCCACATTTTCAGGTATCTGTATAGCAACACGCCACTCCTCAGTACCAATTTTCTGTATTAGTCCATTTTGTGTTGCTATAACAGAAATACCTGGAACTAGGTCTTATCACTATTGCCCTCTGACTTCCCCAAACATACACCTACGCAGAAAAATCAAGTCCATACGAATGCGGATTCGACCCAGTAGGATCTGCCCGCCT